TTTTTTTTTTTTTTTTTTTTTTTTTTTTTTTTTTTTTTTTTTTTTTTTTTTTTTTTTTTTTTTTTTTTTTTTTTTTTTTTTTTTTCGGACGGGGCGTACAAGACGTACATGTTCCCATACAGATCCCGTGCAAAAATAACCTGTACGTTTCGTACGGGAAGCCCCCCTACGTGTACTCTATGCAACGTAGCTTGAAAGAAGAAATGTTTGCCTTATGTAGCGCCCTCAACTGGGTGGTATTGTCTTCATCAGGGGGTTTGTACTTGCGGGTGGTCGTATCGATGTACGAGTGGGGGTGTATGTGTATTAGGTTCTTATGGGTGTATGTGTATAAGGTCCTTATGTGTAGGTCAGTGTTCAGTGGTTTGCTGTGTATGTTTTTTTTAAGGGGTGTTTTAATAAATTTGATGATGGGTGGTACTGGAGTCAGTGGAGTGTTGTATTATTCTTCGGTTCTAATTGGTTTTTCTCAGTGTAAACCGCATCATGTTTTTCGTCCAGTATGCTGTTTTATCTGTAAGTGTACTTAGTGGTGTGTTATGCGTTATTCTTGGGGGTTTCTGAGGTGTTTTTTGTGAGGTACAGCTCGTAGCACAGTTGCTTCATTACTAGGCAGTCGACATCTATAATTAATTTGTTTTTGTGTGCAGTATATTTACGTAATTGGTTTATAAGTATATAGTTCCCATAACCTTTTTGCTTTGTGAGAATTGAATATTCATATTCATGATACGTTGTTGCCCTGTTTAATCTWTACTAKGYKGCTTTGCAAAAGAATAYGTWTTYTAATYCAATMTTTATYTYTGCTTTTAGTTAWCGTGTTYTTWWCTTTWKTTTWTTYTTTTTWTTTWTTTATWTWTTYATTTTTTTTTTTTTTTTTTTTTTYTTTTWTTTWCTTTAAGWTTTTTTTYTTTTTTTAAAATTTAAAATTTAAAATTTTKWTTATTTATTATTGATTATTTATTACTTATTTATYTTTWTTTGTTTAATTATTATTATTTTATTTTATTTTATTTTATTATTTTTATATTTTATTATGTTAGTAGTTTATTATTTTATTATTATTTTATTATTTTATTATTTTATTTATTATTTTATTATTATTTATTTATTTTAATTTTTGATTTTTAATTTTTAATTTGTTATTAAGCTTTATCATTTTATTTTTTTATTATGATTTTATTATTTTTTATTATTATTATTTATTTTTAGTTATTAATACTTATTATCTTATTTTTATTTTTAACTCTTATTTTCAGTTTTTAATTTGTTATTAAACTTTTGTTATTTTATATGCTTCTGTGTGTGTGTGTGTGTGTGTG